TATATATATATATATTTTTTTTTTATCACTGAGCGCACTCTAAATACCACTATCATTTTTTCTTTTTTTTTTACATCTGCACATTAGAGCTCTGAAATGTCAAATTTTAATCAATTTAAAGATACATTTTTACCATCCCATAGCCCGCTGAAGAAGATGTGGAAATCACTTTAGTTTGTCAGCAGATCAAAGTGAAATTAATTATCCAAGCCATTAATATCACTTTGTAGCAAACCCCTCTGTTATTGTGTTGTTTTCTTCTGAATGTTGTGTTTTATGAAATACAGCAATGCTGTATGTGGAAAGAAAAGTCGATGACTGCATGTGGGGGAAAAAGTGTGTCAAATAATGCTTAATTTATGGCACCATGATTGTGTCCATTTCCATTTCTGCTCCAGTGCAGTCCTCCACAGTCTCAACTGCAGATTGCTGGATGTGGGTAGTGCTGTTTATTGGTCGAATGCTGACCTGTTCCCAGAACAGGGAAAAGAAAAAGAAGAAAACAGCAGAATCCACCAAGAATGGAAGAAGCATAAAAAACCCATCAAAGATATTACAAATAATTGAACATTGTATGAACATTGCACAGTGGCTGCAGTGGACAGTTTCCATTATTTTTATTTCGTTTTTGTCTCTGTGGCTGGCTGATGGACCAAGAACAGCACAAGCAAGAGTATCATACTTTTGACACAACCCCTATCTGACAACAGACACTGTTTGTAGCTCTTCACAGACTGCCACAGATGTCCAGTGCACTAGCACTGCTGAACCATAATTTCCTGTTTAGGCGGCACATGGATGGTGCCAGTGTGTGGGGGGCTTTTTTCAGTGGCGTTGTTTTGAAATTGCAATCAAATTGCAAGCATCCAAAAATGATTTACAATAATTTGTGTTATCCCCGGGTGAAAACAAAAATTTGCCAAGCACAATACAATTCATTCTTTCGTTATTTGTGTGTGTGTTTTTATTTTATTTATTTATTAACCTATTAATTAAAAAAATGTACATTTTACCACATTAGGGCCACCATACCTTTTAGGACCATACGATCTGCACACACTTGGACTTGGAAGTACTCAGTCAAACCATGTATTTATCCTGAAATACTGTAACGTGGCAAGAAAAGTCGATGAGTTCACGGAAAAAAGGTACGACACTAAATGGTTAACTGGGGGTCAGCATGACATCACTGCTGGACGAAGCAGCAAGGAGTGGTTTCTGTGAAGAGCTCCCCGTCCCAAATCAATGGAACATACCCAAACACTCAGGAAAAACGCCCTCTAGTTTTATCCAGCGTCAAAACAAAGTGTTATAGCCGTGCTTTGCTCTAAGAGGAATGAACTGCTCTGGAAAATCACACCGCCAGCGCTGAACAGAGAAAAGAGTCGCCTCCGCTGGAGGGTTGGTGGTTTTCAAGTTTCTCCCTCTTGTCATGGTAAGCATTTATACATATAGTGTTTGGGGGCAAAAGCACCAGCTAACCGGCATGTTTTGTTTGTATCATAGTGAAAAAGCTAACGGGAAACTTAGGTTATTTTAAAAGACGAGCAACAGCTGGGGAGAAGGGAAACTCCACGAAGTCGGACCAGGGAGGCGCTATGGCTGACCTAAACAGGCTTAGTCTGCTCTGTTCACCGGATCTAGAGACACGTCTGGTACAGATGTTTGTAGCTTACCTTTTAAACAAGTCGTGGGCCTACTAAGCTAGACAGTATGCTCTATCAAAAATGGAGCTAAAAAGCTCATATTTATGAATTAAACGGACTGCGCCCTCGTTTGATAGAAAGTGAGCATTGCATTTAACGGTAGTTCCAAATAAAGTAACATTCATAAAGAAGCTGCTTACTACTGCAATATCTTCCTCCAGTTTCCTCATATTTTCTTTCTTTGTGTTTTTGATTGAGCTGTGGCGATGGAGGCCCGTGTTATATTACCGTTACTAGATTCAAACAAACTACATGTGGGGTAAATAGTACCCTGGTAATACTAAAAAGTCCTACCAGACTGATAATTTGATATATCTAACCTAAAAAAATCACACAAACAAGCTATGCAGGCTAAAGGTTTGAATATTAAGAACACATATACTTTATTTACTTTGAATACAGTTTAACACCCCTGTTATAAATTTAAATAAAGGCTAAAGTTTTTTTGTGCGAGGTCTCTTTACACTCAAATATTTCCTCCATTAACTGTTATAACTGTTACAGTAACTGCTGTTTCAGCCGCTGTTCTGCTTCAGTACAGATCTCTTATGTGATTTTTATGAGACTTGTATGTGTTTACTTTTGTAAACTAGAACCAAATCAGACAAATCAAATCTCAATATGTGGGGGATAAAAATGCTTGCACGCATAAAGTGGCAAACCAGGTTATCCTAGATTACATTGGTCACCAATCTGTACTCTAAGACAGATTGGGGCTTCATATTTCTACCATAGAAAGACAAGGCTTTCTCCTAATATTTGCTTCTTAATGCAAAACTTGAAGGATAAGCTTTTCTCTAGAGTGAACTTCTTGGATGTCACAGCAGGATGACAGTCAGGAAAGTGAGGTTGCAAGTCGGCATATTTGCTCTTTAAAGAAAACAAGCTTAGAAGGTTTGAAGCCACAGGAATGGTGCAAAGAGGATGCTGCCTGCCGTCATCCTGCAATTGTCACTTGATTGTGCAGCTGCGCTTAGCAGGCAGGTACATCTACCCGTGGGAAGCAGGAGGATGTAGAATTTATCATTCAGGATATTTCTCTATGAAAACTGATCACTGAAAAAAAAGCGAAGAGCTGGCTAGGGGATGAGCTTATTTAGTCTTTTTTACAGGTGCGCTACCTTCTTTTAGTTCTTGTTTTGCTTCCCCATGCCAATTCACATGCAGCATATATCAAGAATGCCATAAGATAAAAGTTACTCTAAACTTTGCAGATTACCAAGAGCCAAATATTGATTCATACAGATGTATACCCCTGCCTCATAGCCGTCACTAAATTACATGTTGAACACTAGTATGAGACTCAAGGTGGTGCTGTAGTGAAAACTAAATTTGGCATTCAGTAGTAAAAGTCAAACTTTTATACAGCTCCTTAGCCATAAGCCCTTTTTTAAAGTTTAAGATATGCTTTTCAGTTTGATGAGTGAATTATATGTTATATTATACTTTTATTAGGTAATGCTGTAAATGATTTGACTAAAGGAATCCAGTCATTCCTAAGAGGACTCATGTAAAATCTAGCTACTGCCTCTATATAAAGTTCAGGGGCTCTGTTTTTGTCTTTAAGGTTAAAAAAATGTCAGTATTGTGAGTAAGGTGAATGATGGTCCAGATGATTTGAGGAGCTTGGTAACGATGCTTTATGCCAATCAGACATTTTAGTCAGAAAGGTGAGTCAAGATTTAATATCTTGGATTCAAGAGTGTAGTAGTAAAGAAAGAGGACCACTATAACTGAGATTACTTGAAAGAATAGAGTGATGGTACAATGAGCAGGGCAAAATTGTTCATCTTAATGTTCTGTGACATCTCAAGAATCATTTCCCTTTCCCCTGACCTCAATAAGAACTTTAATAGTCCTTAACATATAGTGTCAAAATGATATAAAAGGGCAATTATGACTCAAAAGCTTACAACTAATCACTAAGAGAAATTTGAGCTTTTTTTGCTGTCAAGCAAGCTTTTGAACCCCTTTCTTTTTTTCATTTATATGGTCTTATGACAGTGCTGTCAATTAACTATTATAACACCATGAAAATAATTTAAATGTCAAAACCTGAATAAAAAGCTGGCAGTACTTTTTATATATTGATGTAAGATGGTAATGGATAATATTCAACTGCAACTTCCTACAGTTAAGCTTTATTGTATTCTTATATAAAGTTTGTGACATGCAAGTTTAGTTAACGAAATCTTAAATTGAAAAAGGAAAGAAACAAAAGCTGGTAAGGGGTCAGCAATGTGACTCATTCAGTAAAATCTGTTTGATGGCTTCCTGATGTCTGGGCTGCACAGACTGAGTCAGACTGTGGTTTGGTGTGTTGGCAGACTACAGTTCATGCTACCATTAGGAATATATTTAGGTAAAGTTGGAAAAATGCTGGCTACAATACACATCTGCTCTTTTATTCAATTAATATTTATTCTCATTGTTGAGTCTCGCTGCTGTGAAGAATTCAGTGTCTCTAAGGTTAGAAAAATTCACATTGTGATACAGAAAGTCTGGAGTGGAGAGCAGAGCTGTTGTGGAAAATGCTATGAAACGGCACTCCGGCCCACATCCTCTCTGCTGAAGCCATAAATGGAAACTCATGGAAAAAGCTTTGGCTAAACCATGAGGTGGAGCTACATGATGAAATGATTCATAGCACTAAAACAAAACATTTGATCCATCAGCTGTTTTCCCATTTTGAGATGTGTTTGCACATGCAAAACATAACGCAAAATTTCCAGAACTTGTAGATTTGTATGATCCACCAGAAACTTTTATCACTTGTGGTGAGTGGTAGGGCGTTGCCCAGCTTACAGTCATACCTGGATTTTCAGGGTTTTCATCAAAGCAGTGAATCACACTCAGTGATTGCTATAAATCCTGGATAATCCTCATTCATGTGGTATAAAAGAAAAAAACAAAGCCCTGAGCTAATTTTCTGTGTTTTCAAAGAAGTTGCATCGAGGTAGGACTACCCGGATGTGGCAAAAGCAGTGATTATATTGGTCAGTAATTATCTAGATTATTTAAATACACCAACGTTAACTTTAAAGGGTGTCTTTTTACAAGTGATTTGTTCGATCTTTAAAAACTTTGGAGTGAACTTTTAATGAAAAAAGCGAGGGATACTGCGGGAAACAGAGTCATTTGGCCCCTGCCAGCCCACAGTCTCTACTGGGATGTCAGCGGGTGCAGAAAGGGGCAACAAAAGGCAGATTCGCATTGCTCAGGAGAGCTACACGATAGCCAGAGAGAAAGAGATGGAGAGCTGAGGTCAACAACTGATGCTGTGGTCGTACGCCTCCAAAACCAGACCAAATGAGAGATTATGGGAGACGAAAGCAGCTGCAGGCAACCGTTAAGGATCCTTCCACAGTTTCACCTACAGAAGCCTTTTATGACTTTTGCTCCGTCTACCTAGATGTTTTTAACTCGAAGCAATGGGAGTTATCTACAGAATGTACAGTTGTGGTTAGAAGTTTACGTATACTTATCATGGGCATACATTTTTTTAAGTAATTAAAGATGCATGCTGTGCAATCATTTCACTGTGGAAAAAGAGTTGGTTCAACAAAATCATTAAAAGCCCCAAATAACCCTTATATTCATGCCCATGATAAGCACATGTCAACTTCTGACCACAAACATATATGAAAAGTTCAGTTTTCCTTGTCCAATTAAGTTATTTTTTTTTTTAAATAATTGACCGTTCTTTGTTATTAACAGTGTTAACAATGTGAGAATTACTCACGCATGTAGTATTATAATCCACAAAATACCAGTTTTCTTTCTGCTTTAATAGCCAAAATATTGTTCATCAATATTGTTTATCTCAAGAAAACATTACCTAGAGATTGTGTGTACAATAGTTGCAAAATGTAACAAAGTGTTGCTTTCTAACATCTGTGTGTTTGTGTGTTTTTTGCACTGTTTTACACCACTAGTTCATATTCTGTGGTTGTATCACAGTGACTTTCTTTCTTTGGGGAAAAAACAATAGTCTTCAGTTTTATCCAAGATGCAAAATCAGGGTTTTGTCTCAGCAAATACAGATACAAATAATGACCTTTACCAATCTAGCTGAGATAAGTATCTTATAAATATTTCATGCATGGGAGAGTGGAGGTAGACAAGGAGGAGATAGTTTTGTCTGGCTGTACTTAGTCCTCACAAAGTGTTTCCCTCTGGGGAGTGGAGAGAATGATTTGGCTGCTTCCTGTCAACTCTGAAAGTCCCCATTTGTCATCACAGCTTTACTCGCTCTGAAAAGAAAGAAGCTTTCAGCAGGCCAGAGAAAGGACTGTCTTAGTCACCTTCACGTGTAACTTAGTTTGTCAGTAAAGTTTGTAAATGACAAAATTAATTTGAGATTTTCATATAGCACATATTGTCTTCTCATCTCAAATTCTCTCCACTTGGGAGAACAAGCTAAAGAACGCCAAGACACATTAGTATAAGGCAACCCGTCTGGTTTCAGTAATCCTCCAATCAGCTCATCATCTTATGTTGCTATACTATTGTGTCCTTGTTATAAAAATCTCGGGGCTCCTCATATGTCTGTGTTTATTCCTCCGCAGCGCTGTGTCTGAAGAAGTTGACCTGCACTTTGAATCCATCCTGAAAGACCATGCTGTCCCTCCTGCTGTCCGCAGTGCTGGCTGTCCAAGCGATGGGTGGGTGTTGCTGCTCCCTCTGCCCTGCTATTAGATTTGAGTGGCTGCGGTGGGAAATGTCATCGCTTGTTAAACAATACACCGTGCAGGGCCTATTAGTCTTTTGCCTTCAAAAGCTTCACTGGGAAAAAACAACCGTTCAAATGAGGCTACTCCCCAAAAACAATGTGCCAATAGTTTAAAAGTTATAAACTGTCCCTGTTTAAACCCACATCAACTGAAATGAGTTGTCAGAGAGCAAATTCCTATTTAAACAGATGTCTGGCTAAAGGAGAAAAGGGATATTTTTCAAAGTAATTCTTTTGAGTTTAGTTTTAAAGGGTTACAACTTCATCATATGAGGGTGTTTTGTATTTTCTTTATAATTCAGCTTGTAAAAGAGAACAGCTTTGACCTTTTCCAAGCATGTGAGGAGTGGCGAGAGCTCTGGGCATAGGTAAGGTGCGCTGTGAAAAATGCTAGAAGTTGAGTTTTCCTGCCTTGACTCAAGAAGGGTGATGAGGAAGTCATCGTATTATATTTATAACACCGGGAAGCAGGGTGCTGGTGGTTGATGTTGCAACTGAGGATGCATGACTCGCATACTCAAAAGTTTCACTTCAGTAGAAATGACGCTCAAAGAAAACTTGTCATCATAAAAAAAGAAACAAATAGCCTGGGCTGACGTGATGGCATCTCATGACAGTAAATAAAAGAAGGGAATGGCATATGCCGAAAGAAGTATCAACAGTGCATATATTTCAACATCAGCCCTTTCTCAGTTGGTGTGTGGCTGATGCCATGTAAATTTAAATCTCATATTGAGTACCATTCTTCTATATTAATATATAGCCTGAAGAAGAAGGACAAAATCAGTTCGCAAATCCTCAAAGTTCACAAAGAACTTTTATCGTCCAAAACGCCATCATTTAAAGAGCTTTTTTTTGCCTTTTCTGCTCTCCGGTTGAGCTGACACAACCTCCTATCGGCCATCAGTGGCACATTACAATTTTGACTCAGTGGACCTAAGTGTCTTCAGTGGTTCATTAGGGACCCATTCTCTCCCAGCACAAATGGGCCTGCGGCCTGCTCATTACTGGCTGTGTAGCATCCACTGCCTAACTCGCTTCCCTCAGTGGGAGGGAGGAGGAGGAGGTGTCAGGGACTGATGGAGCTCTTTAACTCACGGGTAATGGGCTATATTGTAGCTCACACAATGATTCACTTTCTGCTAACTGGAGCACTAAGTGAATTAGTTGGAGTCTAGTTTGATACTACAGTCTGCCTATGTAACACCGTATCATATTACAAAAGTCTCATATTTTGTGGACATTATTTAAACTATTATTATCACCACTTCCTGTAGCTTTAGAGAGCTTCTGCTGGCACGCACAGAAACCTACAGACTTGTGCATTTAACTGAGCATCTATTTATATCTGTGGACGGCTGTGCTGATATGATCCAGGGTCTCCGAGGTCTCTAACTCCCTCGCTGGGATTACTTGCTGTAATCTTTGTTGTACTCAACCATGTCATTTCTTGATAATTCCTGCAAGTTCCCATATCAGCAGACGTGATTTTACTTTGTGGGCTTTGCCAAAACACTTTGTGAGAATGGTATGTTTTGGGGTAAAAAAAAGAAAAAGAAATAAGGCATATGACAGCACTGTCATCCCAGCATAGTAACATTGTCTCTGTAGCTCCCAGCTGTATCCTGACTCAGGAGTCAGATGATGGATTATTCTCAGTAAAATCTCTCCCTGATGTTACTCATACAGCACTGCACAGCTGTTGCCTCCAGAGCTAGGATGAGCCTTGTCTGTAGGTGGATGTTGTTTGTCTCTATTTAGGAAGCAGGAGAGAGAAAAGATTGCCACCCTGCTCAGAATTGGCTTTGACCCCTGACCTTAAGTGTTACTTAATTTTTTTTTAACACACTCATTATAACGTACTGTGGTTACAGGTGTCTGCAAAATGCAAAATAAATTGCAGATCTGTGTACAGTAATGCCTGAGCCACAACAGTTAGCTGAGTACAGTAACAGTCTTGGCTTGCAGTACACAGCAGTGTCAGCCTGTTGCAGAGCTAACAGGGGGCTGTCTAGCTAATTGCTTGTTGTTGTCATACTCTGTGTTCAGTTAGCACAGTCACTAGGCTGCCAGAGCTCGCTGTGGGCAGCTCTTAGAAACCAAACAATGAAAGAGAATCGCATCCATGCAAATGTAGAATTGAAAACCAGACACGATTTTTACTCTCAGTGATGGCAACTGTAAGGTAATTCAAATTAACTAGCATAATTGGATAGATTGCATCTGGTAAAGTAGTCGCCAGGCACAGATTATGGCAGGGCCCCAGAGCGTGAAAATAGCCCGCTCATGCCTTCATCTCTAGTGTACTTTTTAAAGGTCTGCTAACTATGAATACCCTCTTCCTTCCCTCCTTTTCTCTTCACAGCAATTGATTCTGCAGAGAGGGGACACTTTAGCCTGTGCACAAATTCAATTTAGGGTTATTACCCTGTATCAGTGATGTTTTTGCTAATTTGATTGTGTCCAGTAAAGTATCCTTTTAAAAACAATCGAGGACAGGCTCAACAAAGATTGGTTTCGCTGCAGTGCATACATAATGACGAGTCTCTGTTGGCTTGCCTCTGTCTCACTGTTTCCCAGCTCTTCTTTTCTTACAGTGCACTTATTGAAACAGAGTGCATTACCCAACTAGCACCTCATGATTATTTCAACAAGTCTTAAAAATGCTGGCTTGTGGATCGTTAAAAAATTGATACAGGTAATATGCCGAGATTGCAGTTCTGGAGGGGAAGAGAGGCCTGAAGCCATATGTGGGCCTGCTGTGTGTCTAGTAGGCTTTGATGAATGTGTTGAACGGATGCTGATCTGTGCTTGGGAAGTGTCACAGCTACTACTGGCTTGCTGCGAAAGCATCCCAGCAGCTGACAGAGGGAGACCCCTGCTTGCCTGGTGTTGCGTCTGACACACGGCGGTGGTGACGTCGGGTGCTGTGGGGATAAAACTCTGCCTGTCTTTTATCGTGATGTGTCGGGTTGTTTCATGTTCAACTCCAACAACGAACACCCATCAAACTGAATTTGCATGCGTGATCTGCATTGTTTAGTTACATTTTTTGGTCTGAAAAAACCCAACCACAATTGTGAGATATGTACAAGAAACTTCTTCTTTGGTAGATGTTGCACATTACAAATACTACAGCAAAATCTACTTCATAGTACATTTTAAGGTCTCATTACAATTATTGTAATGAGGAGCCAATTTTGAGTTTCAGTTTCTTGGCTCACTGCGTGACATTTGAATCCCTTTCAGATACCTCGTAGTGACAAATATTTGAAATTATAGCCTTCCCCTACTTTGGATTAATTTTCAGCTTCTTCAGCCACTGTTGGCATTACTAAAACATTTGAAGAGTATGAGAAATTATCAGCTCTAGATTCATCATCAAATAACAGTTCTTACTAACAATTTGTGACCTAGTGGAGCATTAACAAGTAAATGAATTAGTTTTTCACCTTTTGTAATTGGAAACAAACTGCAGCACTTATTTTTGTTAGGCTTTAAATATTAGAAATCATGTTCACTTTACTAATATCTGACCCCATGACCCTACTGCTACCTTCAGGCGCTCTCATGTACACCATCTCTTCACTAGTTTTTCTGTCTCCTGTTCATCAAAGGCTCTCTGTCCCTCCAGCTTGTAAGCCAGAGGCTTGCCTTTATCTGCCCACTGTTCTTTAGCCAACACCATCTGACTGCCGAAATCCGTTAACGAGTTATTGACGGGATATGAGATGACATACTTCTATGAAGAAAGAAAGGCAGAAAAAACACAGGTAGAGAACAAGTAAGAGATGAATGAGAAAAAGGAAAATAGAGCAATGATAATTCCTGTTGTGATTTATGATATTTTTTGAGAATAAGCTCTCGGTCCTCAGTGATTCCTATCCATATCATACTTACTATGCACATGCTCCCATCACTCAGTTAATGTTTTCCAAATGCTTTTTTTTTTTCCAAATAGGAGTGTTATGGACATGCACATCTGCTCTGACACCATGAAATCAAAAGCTAGTGTTCCCCTCAGACTTATACAGGGATTGGTAATATCATAAGAGTAATCGGTATGAAAGGGCTTGCAGATCCTTTGAGCAAAATCCTTTGATGTTCAGGTAGAGCGTAATGTGTAGAATAGAAATGTGCTGAGCTACAGTTACATTCATCAACAGAGGGGGGCACTGTTGTAAAAGCATTTTTTTCCTGCGTCTCTCCCTGCCCAACCAAAACCCACTGTCGGTGCAGTCTGTTAGTATTGCACCTTACGTACCGGTTTGCTTTGCTGTGTCAATATTGCCCCAGCAATTTCCCCTCCAGTGCTTGTGCTTGATGTTCCTTATGTATTAAATCATATTAGCACTTGTTGTATCATGTTTCAGCAGGGCTGTACCTTTTAAACATGCACTTACTGTGTTAAACACTCATTGTGCAAATAGCTCCATTCCCTGTTAGTGAATTGATGCCATTATTAGCTTTATGAAGTGGGACAGAATGGAATGAAATTAACTCTAATTGGAGCAAAGACACTTTTTTGTAGTGCTAAAAAATGATTATTGAACTGAGTGTTAAAAATATATTTTTTTGTAGTGGACATTGATGATAAAGACTGGAGGTATCTTTGTAGATTACTGCAGAAACTCCTGATTTGAATAACGACGTGTGTGTGTGTGTGTGTGTGTGTGTGTGTGTGTGTGTGTATATGTATGTATGTATATATGTATGTAGGACATTGGAAGGGGCCCAGGTAGTGATGTAGCA